CTGGGGAATTCTGGGAGTTGAAGCCCACCTATCTTAAAGTGGCCAAGGTGGAGGAACACTGATGTAAACTATTAGTGGGCCACCACGTTCAGTTGTAAAATAAGTTATACCATGCTTTCTCTTTATTTATAGAGGTCTTAGCTTAAGGTGGTGGAAGAAACGAAGATATGGAAAGAGAAAACCCCAACAAGGAAGCTGTCCTCATTACCGGTGGAAGTGGATATTTTGGTTTTCGGTTAGTAATTATTAATTAGTGATGACGCAATTTGTTCTAAAATAAGTGCAATTCTTTATTGACATAGTGCAATTCTTTGTTTACAGTTATTACAACCTTTGGAAGATGATATCTGTGCATCCAAATTGGGTCACGTGCTGTACAGTCCTATACGCACGCAAACACACACACGCGTGCACATGCACACACACACATATATATACACACATGCATACATACATGAGATTGATCGTGCACCATCAAGTCAGTGTCAGCTCTTAGTAACCACATAGCCCTTCTCCACAGTAATATGTCCCCAGTCTGGTCCCCAACAGTGCACCCATCACCATGGTGATCATGTTTGTCCACCTTCTGCTAGTCATCTTCTTCTTTCTCCTTCCACCTGTCCCAGCATTATGAGCTTGTTAAGGGAGCTGGGTCTTCCCATCATGTGTCCAAAATACAGTAATTTGAGCCTGGTCATTTGGGCCTTGAGTGAGAACTATGATTTATTCTGTGATCCACTCATTCGTTTGTGTGGTCTTTATGGTTTCTTAGGAGTCTACACAGAGAGAGAGAGACAGGGAATTTAATAAACAAGAGCTATCCTCCCTGTGTTTGAGTCTGTCTCTGTGTAGATGAAGGAATTTAATAAATGAGAACTATGTCTATGATTTTGGTCTTTATTTCCTATCAGAGGAGCACGCCAGGCCTGCCCATTTAATCAATGGAAGCTTTTGTTGATGGATCTACTGCCTGAAAGTTGCAACCCTCCTTCTTGTCCTCAGCACCTTGGGTAATCCAAGCAGTTCAGCTGACTGAAAGCCTTCGCAGTTAAATAGTTCCTGTTGTGAAATATCTTTTATTCTATAATTCCTGTCTCAACCTGTCCTACTTGTTTTATTTCAGGCTTGGTTCTGCCCTGGCCAAGAACAAAGTGGATGTGATCCTGTTTGATGTTTCCAGACCTACCCAAGAGATACCAAAAGGCGTGAAATTTGTGAAGGGTGATGTCTGTGACATCCAAGAAGTGGAAGCAGCCCTCCAGGGCATGTCCTGCGTGTTCCATATTGCCTCCTTTGGCATGTCTGGCCGGGAACAGCTAAACCAAAAACGTATAGAAGAGGTCAACATCAAAGGAACTGAGAATGTCATTGAAACTTGCAGGAAAGTTGGAATCTCAAAACTGGTTTACACAAGCACATACAATGTAGTGTTTGGGGGTCAGGTCATAGAAAATGGAGATGAATCTTGGCCTTATCTACCCCTCCATCTTCACCCTGACCATTATTCAAGGACCAAAGCTTTGGCTGAAATGAAAGTTTTGGAGGCCAATGGGACGGTCCTGAGGGATGGTCAGGGAATACTGAGGACTTGTGCCTTAAGACCCGCTGGCATTTATGGACCAGGAGAGCAGAGGCATCTTCCGAGGATTGTCAACTACATTGAACGGGGATGGTTCCGGTTTGTGTACGGGGATCCTAGCAGCCTGGTGGACTTTGTGCATGTAGATAACCTGGTGCAAGCTCACATTTTAGCAGCAGAGGCTCTGGGTGCCACCAAAAAGCATATAGCTGCCGGCCAACCTTATTTCATTTCTGACGGGAGGCCAGTCAATAATTTTGAATTCTTCCGCCCTCTGGTAGAAAACCTAGGCTATGCCTTCCCCACTCTCCACCTCCCTCTGTCACTTGTTTACTTCTTTGCCTTTTTTACGGAACTGGTCCATTTTGTGGTGGGACGCCTGTATAACTTTCAGCCCCTCCTCACTCGCACCGAGGTTTACAAAACTGGGGTGACCCATTTTTTCAGCTTAGCCAAAGCTAGAAGGGAGCTGGGATATGAACCCCAGCAGTACAGCCTTGGTGAAGTGGTGGAGTGGTTCCAAGCCCATGGTCATGGGCAAAAGTTTAGCATGTCCTCCGGGAAACATTTCATGAGAAATGCAGCTCTGGCCTTTCTTGTGGTGGGGATGGTCTTTTTGTGGTTCCCGAGATTTTCCTGGAGCTTTTTTTGACGTTGCTCAAATGAGAAAATATAAGAACGCAACGTTTCTTTGCTACTCCAGTCGGAAGGGAATTGGAAGCAAGGTGCCTCCCAAAACTGGCCTTTTTGCCCTCCCAATGGGTTTTTTTTTTTCATGTTCTACCAAATCTCACCTTTGCATTCTGAGGTAATGGGCTGTGAGAATAACTTTAGGAGACAGGAGGAAGAGCTGCAGCCTAAACAATGGTCTGATAAGAGAAATCTGAGTCCAAAGCAGAAATGGGGGTGGAGAAAGCATTTCAGAAGGGACCTTCCCTAGTTCTTGGGAATGTAAAGGCAGGAGAGGGGAGGAGTGCTTTCAGACTTACAAGATTTTGTTACTGTAACCTTGCAATAAAAGTAGGATTAGTACTCCTGGTTTTGGTTTCCTGTCTGGACTGCCTTGCAGGGCTGACATCTATTGTACTGGAACCATTTTTTTTCCCAGGAAAAGACAGGATTATGAGCTTGTTGCTATTGAATAAAAAAAGCAGCTGCTTGTTGTTAATGCTGACAAAAGAGGCTGGATGTGCAGTTAATCATCATTCAGCCACTCAATTCACAACTTCAAAAGTTTCTTCCTGGAACCATTCTTGCAAACACACTTTCAGGCCTATTTTACATTCTCTTGCTTCTAATGTTCTTTCTGCAGTCGAAGTGGGAAATAATAACGCAACAACATTTGGATCGTACTGTGTGGGCCAAAAGGGACTTTGTTTTTTTAACGTTGAGATGAATTATGGTGGAATTGTATTTACTGGCAGCTGTTCCAAGACTCTGGTGACTCCTGCTTCTCCGGCTTTCGAGCACCAAGAGGAAATTGCTAGCAGACTTTAATGTTAGACTGGAGGGAACCCTGTTTCAGGTTTGGAATGAGCTTTTAACTCGTTTGACATACATTAAATTCCATACCTAAAGGCCCTTAAATAGCTTCTGTGTTCCATTCCTGTTTTGTTGTTGTTGTTGTTCAGTCGTTGTGTCCAACTCTTCGTGACACCATGAACCATATCGCACCAGGCCTTCCTGTCCTTCACTGCCTCCCTGAGTTTGCCCAATTTCATGTTCATTGCTTCAGTGATGCCATCTAACCA